ACTAAGTGTGTGTTGCATGATTAATAAAATAGTATCATTCGGCTTTTTTCTGACTTTTAAAGAAACTTGAAACATTCTATTGACCCCTTTCACTATTCACATTTTGAGACCATGGCACTAAACATTACTCTATGAAGTAATTTAAGTAAATATAATTAAGAATTTCAGCTTGAATGATTAAAGGAAAGTATGTCTCCTCTTTTCTCAGTATGCTAAGAGTATTGAACAGAACTGTGACTGAAAATTGAGCGTGTCCTAAAGACAAACCCCAAGGCTAAGTGAAAGTCAGTTTATAGACATTTGGGAATTTGATTTGTTCACATCTTCCCATCAGTTTAAAAAGATCTGTGCTAATATTTCTTTAAAGTAAAATAATAATAGAAAAAAATCCCTGCAACTAATTTCAGAATTCATATGAGAGAAAATTTAAAATGTTTTGCAAAATTCTGGCTATCCTAATAAATTACTTGTTTTCCTTTTAAGATATAGTCAGAAAGTCATTTGACATACAGATGTGCACCCAAATTATTAAAAATAGTTAAACAAGAATTGTCTTAGAATGCCAGCCAGTTCGGATTTTATTGCTCATAATGTTATTGGGTTTTTTACCCCTTTCAGGTCACATTACTAAATCAGTTCATGAATCATACATGTACCTTAAATAATATTAGTATCTTGTGTTTTATAATGTTAACCCTCAAAAATAGTGGTAATCACAAGATATGGAGTGATGAGGCTTTGGAGAATGCTGTATACTCTCATATATACAACTTCTGTATTTATGGAATGGAGTGGTGATGAGTTCACGTGGGCATGAACTCAAAGTGAAGTGAAGCAAAGCTGATGTTTCAGTAGTGTGAGACTTTTTCTCTGATTTTAGAAGAATATACTTAACCAATGAGGTTGTGAACAGACTCTTTTACTGATATCACAAGTGACCAGACTAGCAATGTACACAGAATAAGAACCATGCTCATGAAGGGTCATACAGTAGTTGTAGCATGACTGAAAACTGTTGGTAGGTACATTGCACAAAATTGGTGCTATGTGGCTTTCTCTTATATTTGTCACAATTTCAGCACAGAAACTGTTGGCTGCAGGTACTGCAAAGTACATTGTATGCATTGTGGAATTACACAGAAATCCCTGGGGCACAGGAGGAACTTGCTGTCTATTCACTTATTAAATTGTTTTCTCTCTTGCTATATATTTAACAAAAAGGCAAGAAAAAAAATACAGAATTAAAATTTATTTTTAAAAAATCAGTTTAGAGGTGGTTTGCACTTAAGAAAAAAAAATTTTTATTTTCAGTGTTAAAATGGCTTAATGTCTAAATGGAATGCTGTAAACAATGTTTTAATTCCTGTTCCATAGTTTCTAATGCATGCCACTGTGGGACCTGTGGTATTGGAATATAATTCTCATCCATTACAATAAATGCATTTCCCATGATTACAGCACTATGAAGGCAGGACAAAAAGCTGTGCAGTTATTTTATGAGATTAACATTGGGAAGTTTAAATCCTTGCTTGGACACCAAGAAATGTTTTTCAGTGGCATTATCAGTTTTCTACAAAACATCTCTTAAAGTGAGGAGGTGTTTTGTTCCTACAGTTCTTGGCTTCTTTGTACCAAAACTGCTGTCTTGTTTAATGACATTGCTATGTGGGCTGAAATTAGGCTGACAGATTGTGAGCAAAGGCTGTGATATTACAAACAATAGTCTATTGAGCACGAGGAACTTGTTGATTTAGTTACCGGAGGCATTAGTGCTCAGTCCAGCCTCTTTAGCATCTGGAAGACAGAGAAGAAATAGTGGGCTAATGAAATGTCCAAATGACACCAAACTGCAGAGGGCTGCAGGTGACAATGGCAGCTGATGGGTGCCTGGTAAGAGGCAAAAACTAATAATAAACCAATAAACTCAGAACAGGAAAAAATAGTGCATTGGGAGGGAAGGGAGTATTCAAATGAAGACAGAAAACCATGTTGGGATTCCTGAGGAATCAAGCACACAGATGATTACATTTTAAGGGCTCTGCTGGATTTGAGATGGGTTTTCCAGAGCAGACTGGATGGCAGTAGCTTTAGCACACCAGCTCTTCACCATCCATGATTTCCCTGACATCAGTACAATTCTCCAGTGCTAGTTTAGGGATCCTGAGGACCCTGTAAAACAGTTCTGAGTGGGTCATCTGTTCCCCATCCAGTTGAGGTTAGCTTGATGTTGAAAAAGAAACTGAAATGTGCAAAAGGTCAAAATCAAGGTCTCATTTTGCTCTGTTTTAATTATTCACTTAATAATATTTTAGTTTCTTATGCCTCGCAGTACAAGTTTTTAATGGTCTTTGAACTTTAAGCATGAATTTAATTGCTTCTGTGTCCTTCCTTGGGAGTAATTCCATCAAAATTTGCACCTCTGCTCCATGCTGCAGATAACTTAATCCATATCTGTAGTTGCTGGGATTGCTAGGAGGCATGTATATTAGTTTATTAGTTGACAAGATGGACCTAGCCCACCATCTGTGTTCATGCAGTCTGCTGCCTTAAACCTAGAGAATCTGCCAGGATCACATGCACAGCTCAGGCTGAAGTGGATTCCCACACCAAACTTTGTACAGAGAGATCTAAATCTGTGACCTGTGATGCAACTGGAGTCTAAACTTCTGGGATCAATACCTTGGACTACCTAAATCCTGAAATATCCAAGAACTATTATTATCCCAGCTATGTAATTTATGCATGACATTTAATGAAAAATAAAGCAAAAGAAAGTCAATCAAAAATATTACAAGAGAATAGCTTGGCTTTACCATTCTTATTTACTTTGGATAATAATCTGTAGGAAATAGTAGTTCAGATTTGAGTTCAGTTGTCAATAATGGATGGGTCTGACCCCTGTGGCAGAATATGCACTTAGATGTGTCAGGGACTTCAGCTGAAGCCAGGAGCTGTGGTGGGTTGGCTTTGCTCACCCAGTGCTCTCTCACCCCCACTCCTCATCAGGACTGAGGTGAAAATGAGGTGAAAAAGCTCCTGGGTCGAGGTGTGGACAGGAAGGGATCTCACCAATGTCCTGCACAGGTAAAACACTCTGCTCTGGGGAGACTCATTTATTGCCAGTTAAAATAGGTTTGCATAGTAAAAATCAAAGAGAAATTAAACCAGTGCCTTCTCCCTGCTCCAGCCTGGGTTCTTTGTGGGTCAGTGCTCCTTCAGGAGAGACCAGCCTGCTCCAGCCTCTCTGTCCTGGCTTACAGAACCCCCCTGTCCCTGCTCCTCCTTGCTCCCTGGTTCTCCTCAGGCTCCCTGGTCCCTGTGCAGGATTTTGCCCATCACTGGACACATTTTCACACCTGGGCTGAGGGGCTGGGCTGTGCCATGGGTGAGGCCATTCTGGGGCCATCTGGGAGTGTCAGGAGCAGGCTGGAAGGGGCAGGGGCAGCACAGCCTCTCCAAGAGCCAGGCCTGCAGCCCCACTGCTGGCACCACCATGACACCCACCATGGCAAGTGACATTATTTGGGTTTGGCAGAGGCATTCTGGCTTTGCAATAGAGCGGTTTTTTCAAATATTTCCAGTGCCAAGTGTCTCCTCGAGGCGAGCCCTCAGGAACAGATTGGGAGCGTGGAGCAGGTCTCTGCAGAGCGAAGCAGTGGAGAGAATTTTCTTCTGAAAAGAAGGATGTGGGTAGGAAAGTAGAGGATAACATTAAAAATAGAGAAGATTATACATGTTCCATTAGTAAAGCCAGAAACAATTTAGGATAAGGTAGAAATCCTGGAACTGTATTGATAAACAGAATTAAAAATGTCTTTTTCCTTCTTCTTTTCCAGCCCAGAGCAGCAGATCATCTGAATTTTGCTGCTCATGCTGGTATTGAGCAATGTGTTGCCAGAGAACAGTCCTATTGACTGCAGTGGGACTTGCTGAAGAGGGAATAATTTAGCTCAAATAACCTTATAAATACACATTAGAACCCAACAGTATATTTCCAACCCTAAAATATATAGCTAACCCCCGAAATGTATTTGAAACCATAAACTCGGGTTTTCAGTGCTTCTTTTTAAAAAGTAATATAATTTAGCATGTGAGCTAAAACATGGCCCTGTCTTACAAGATGAGAGGGGTTTTGGATTGGATCAGAAAAATGTAAAGTCTTATTTTTGTAGTATATAAATGAAATGGACAGTCTAAACCCTGTCTCTAAAAATCTTGGCACACTTCAAAGGAAAAATGCCATTTTAGCAATTTAAAAGCACTTAGTGGGTTTTTCCAGTGCTGAACTTCATTTCTATCACTGGTATGGTTGCCTGCTGAATAATGCCATAGGGGACAATGTAGCTCTGACTATATTTAAAAATACTATTCCATGAAATTCACTGGGAACAAGCTGAAGCAAAATCTCATTTGTGGCTTTGGAAGGAGGTGATAGTGGCTGTAAATGGTAAAGGAAAAGGATTGAGATGATTTTTGAATCACAGAAGAGACGAAGGCTGGAACATCTGTGGGGAGAGAGGGATGCTTAGAGCAACAGCCAGAGGGGCCAGGCAGAAATGTGGGGACCCTTTAATGTTACAGGGACTTGAACATGAGCAACAATTGGAAAGAAAGAAATCCTAACAGGTGGGAACAAAAAAAGACATGCAGAGACACCATTAGAATAGTGAAAAAATAAAAAAGAAGAAACAATTAAAAGGATGTTAGGACACATAATTGGAATATTCAGATAAGAAGAGACAAAAGGTCAACATGATTGAATAATAAAAATCTGTCTTGTCTTCTTTTTGGTGTATTCATAGCATGTAGCTTACTGCTATGTTTTTGGTTTTATGACCAAAATGAAGCCTTTAAAAATAATTCTGAACTGTTGTAAGACCTATTTTACTTGTCTATTTTAACCAATGGAGGTAGAAGTTTTAAAAACTTTTCTCAGTGTTGTTTCTGGAGAGTTGGTCAGGCATTCATTAAACCACATCCTGTTTCACCTGTTCTTGTAGGGAACCTTGGCCGGGTGGACCACGTCACAGAGTTTGAGTATGACCTCTTCATCAGGCCAGACACCTGCAACCCACGCTTCCGAGTCTGGTTCAACTTCACTGTGGAAAACGTGAAGGAATCCCAGGTAAGTGATAATAAATTACATGGTATGATAGCTTCAAAAATTGCTTATTCCAGTATATGTTTTCTTTAACAAAAAAGATGACACCCCGGCTTTGCAATTAAAAATTTCTTTAAAATGTCTCTTTGTTCTTTGACTTTTTTATAAACAAAAGCAGGTATCAGCAGGAGAGGGTATGACCATGTCTTTCAGCTATCCAAGACAGGAGGTAATTGCAAAGTCAGTATAATTTTTGCCAACTAACAGAACTGGTATTAATAGTGGCTGCCATGTATTTGTGCTTTTGCATTCTAACAAAATATGTGTGTTAATATAGGAAAAATAAGTCCATCATAGCTGTTCAAATATTGTCACTTAAGCTTTCATTTAATACCTGTAGAACAATGGGGTAGCTTTGCAAACAGGCATTTCCCTAGTGACTTGTAGCAGAAGAGTTGCTTGCCAACATGTCCCTTGTGAAAGAGGAGGTTTAAATGTGAAGCAAATTGATAGGCAACTGTTTCACTTACTTTTAAATAATGTTTTTTGCAGTAAAGATGCCCCTTGAGAAAGAAAGTTCCTTGCTATATTTTTTCATTTACTAAAGTTATATACTAATTTTCACATTGAAAAATAATAATAAAAAAATTTCATTTCACTTTTCACATGCGCTTTGAATTTTGTTCTGGTGGACTGCCTTAGTTTATAGGAATCAGTCTGTCATTTTTACTTAATGGAAATAAAGCCTATTTAGTAAGAGAAAAAAACTGCAGAAACTTGATAGTTGTATTCCTATGAGACTAATATCTTAATGTCCAGCACTGTATCATTCCTGTTACTACTGGAAATCATGAAATTGTTTATCTATCGTCCTGGAGCCTGATACTTTATCAGACAGACCCTTTTCCCTGCTGTGCCTTACTCAACTATGATCAAATTATATAGTCATGAGATGAATGGGAATCTGTCTCAAGGAGGGAAAGAGATCGGGTAGAAAGATACAATATATATCTAGTGCTTACAGGATATTTGTTTTCATGGTTGTCTACATGAAAGAGAATGGTTCCACTATTAAGTTTGACTTGTGAGGTCTGTTTTTATAATGTGTGCTCCTATAATCTTTTTCTCATCTCTCCAATTTCCGTTAAAATGAGACCTGCTTGGACGTAATCTAGTCTGGAACCTTTTTTAGGTCTTTGTACTACAGGCCATGGGCAGCATTAGTCATTGCAGCTCAGCTATATTAAATGAAAGTTAGAAGTTGCTGCATCAAACATACTGTGTAATGTAATTTGTTTTCTGCATTTTGATTATTTTATGTTTTACTAAAAAACAGTAACAAGGAAGCCCAGACTATTCAGAATTGCTTCAAAATGTTGCACTAATACAAATACAGAGGAACTTTGACCACATTGTGTGTAAAAGTAGCTATTTGTATAGCTCTCTATAAATCATTACCTGGATCATATTGTATTTATTTTTGATATATCATATAAGTAATGCATGAAGAAGGCACATCTATACATTTATATATATTAGGTCTGGTTTCAGCCTGTTGGATAAAGACTCACAAAGAGTAGCTACTTTTGTTTTTTATATTATCTATTAGTGCAGTATTTTGTGTTATTAATCTACTGATAAATGAAAAGAAAGACCAATTAGACATTCCAGCTAATCTTACCATCCATCACAGGTTCTTTGCATTCTTCTGGTTTTAATTTTCTTAAGTCATGGAACTTCCATTTCATATGTCTCAAAACTGTTTTATAGACTCTTCTCACTTACAGTGTTGCTTGATTTTTAGCCTAAAGCTTTCCTTTATTTAATCCCACAATTCCCAGTAGCAATTCTTCTTAGTAATAACTCCTCTTGGTACAAATAAATCCTCATCATCCCTGACTAACATTTATATTTCTGTGAATTATAACATTCCTCATCATTTGTGTGTCAACCTAGCTATCATGTTTGGTTCTTTCAGCCCTATATCCAATAGACCACTTTACCTTTTAAGTAATTTTCCGCTTTGTGGCCTTTGGACTTCCATCATAAGCGAATCTTTCAGTCCTTTGATAATTAGCCCAGTTTCCCAAGAAAGTAAAGCTTATATGATCACACTGTCTACTTGCTAGCCTAGGTGTTTGTATGGCTGCTGATCCCTCTTCTCTCTTTTCTCCTTCAATAGCTTCTTAACTCTTGGCCAGTTTCAGCACCACTGGACAGGAATTCCTGTAATTTTTGGGAAAACAGGCTGCCAGATGGGCAAGAGACCCATTAGTGTTCCCACTGGCAGACAGGCTATAGTATGAGATCATTTCTTATTAAACATCAGAGAATCCACAGAGGAGATGAATAGGAGAAAGTACTCATTGGAATTTGCATTTTTAAGATACCAGAGAATCCAACCATGAAATCCAAATCCATAGCATTTAGTAATTTTGCTTCTTGCAGAACTTCTTGTTTTTGTTATTATTCTTCCTCTTCCAGTTCCTTCAATGTTTTCTTTATAGTGCGGAACTAAAATTTAATGGATAATTCTGAGTATGCTAATCCCAATTTACAGAGAAGGGGCTCTAGTCCCTTTGCTCTGTTACTGCCTCACTGTAGACAGCTGGAAATTGCAGCAGCCTTTTGTTGCTGTATCACTATGGAAACTCAGGCCTAATTTGTTTTTCCCTATCATACAGAAGTCTTTTTTAGAGTGATTGCTTCCTTGCTCCTGTTACGTATGTCTGAGGTTACTGTTGTGCTTCATAGGTAATAGAGCTAAGCTCTGTGCCATTCCTGTGACAGCCCTAATATTTCCAGAATTATTTTTAGAATTTTATTATAAACTTGGTTTATTTGATGTTCACTTCCTGACGTTGAAGTAGAACCAACAGACTTTTTTTTAATTTGGAAGTTGGTAAATTAATTTCTTCCTCCTTTTGATTTGGACTTCTACATCAGACATTTTTTTGTTGTCAGTTTTATTTATACTTTTTTAACAAGAATAAAAGATTAAAAAAAAAGGCTAATGCCTTATATTTATGGGGGAAAATGAGCCATCATATAAGATATTAGCAAGATGTAAAATTTGGGTTTTTGGTCTCCTTACATGCTTTTTGACCTGAGCTCAGTTGGTCTGAAAATATGTGAGCTATGATTCTTTTTTGTTACTTGTTTGGTGAATTCAATTAACACCAATATTGGAAAAGAAAAAAAGAAACTGATATGTTATATGTAAGGAAAACACATAGACTTCTATGATTTACACTTATCCATGAAAGGGAGAGTGAAGGAAATAGGATTTGCCGTGGAACACATGGTCTCATGGGCAAAGCCTTCAATTTCTCTAATTATATACGTGTCACAGGCTGCTCTCTGTTCCTGATAATGCTCTTTACAGGGCAGGGTTTGCTTCCTATTCACTTCAGCCATGGCCCTTCAAACATCATCTACGATTTTGCTAAATTTCTTCTCTGCGCAGTCGGAAATTGGATGAACAAATTTCATCTCCCAATTGCATTTCAAGTATTTTAAATACACAGTGCTTCAGGTGCAAGATTACCTCTGAGCTAGAATGGCTTTAATGCTATTACTAGCACCAGTGATTCATTTGAGCTTTTTGGGAGAAAAAGAAATGTGTGTACGTGTGATAAATTATAAAAAATATGCGGGTACACCGATATTGGAGGATTTTACAGGTGAAAAGAATGATTATTGTTTTTGAGGGCCGTAGCCAGAAATTCTTCTCAAGTGCTTAACACTCACTGTTCCAGATACTGTAACCACACTGGAATAAGATGATCTTTGTCCTAGAAAATTTACTTTTGAGCAATTTAAGAAGAGATAAGAGTTAAATACAAGAAAGGGATGAAAGGATTAAAATTATTTGAGGATTTTTGATTTAACACACAGCAGCCATATTATACCACTAAGTAATGCACATCTAGGCCTCATGACAAATTCTGTGTGTGTGTGTACCCTGAGGAGCTCTGCTGTCTGATGAATCATGTTGAGAAATGGTATTTTCACTGAGATTAAAAAAAGAATTTCCAACAGAAGGGGTTTTCTAATAGTGCCAAATTTTGTTCTGTAAGTGTTGATAAACACATTTGGAGTTCTTTATCACAAAGGTACTGACAAAATATACCAAGAAGGATAGAGGAGAAGAATGGATATTTGGCATCTAGGACTTGATCATTACTTACAGTTAATAAATCAATCCAGATTGAGGTTAAAATCAAAGAACCAAATGTTATTTACTTCAAGGCATTCTTTCTGTTACTTCAGTTGCTGTTGGACTGAAACTAGAATTTAGACTCATGAATTTTTTTTGGTTTTTTATATGTGAGTATGGGCAAGCAAAAAGGATAGCCTGTTCTTCAGAAATTTAAACAGGATGCCCAGGTAAGACATAGATTATAATAACTGGACAATATTATGAATGCATGGAACTGTCATTGTAGAATTTTATGTTTTTTTTGGTCCTACAGTGTTTTGTAAAATATAAAAGGCTGTAAGATCTCTGTTGTCTTTAATTGATTAGATATTCAGGAAATATTTGTTATTGACAGTGGATTTTATAATATGTTCAGGCCTCTTTTTACTGTCCTAAAACAACTCAATGATCCTTCTCAGACAACTGCTTCTTTATGATGTTACAGCTGTGATTGTTTAAAGATATGAGTGATACGTGTATAGGGAGAGATAATGTCTCTTTTTATACCAACATTTTGGAGAAACAGGGAGGAAAAGAAAAGCAGGCATAATTTAAGGTACTCAACCTTTTTTCCTGACCTAAGAACTCATTCTGTGCAGTTAATTCCTGCAGAAGCTGCATCCAAAGTAAGATGGAGTGAATATGACATCAAAAGCAGGCTAAAGTTGGAAACAGTTTACCTTTTTACTTTCTTCTTCTTAAGCAGACATGCTCTACTGTCATTTGGGGATTTAAGTTACTGGTATCAAGATGCTTTATAACGTCTTATATTCTTTCCAGCTTCTCATTTGAGAAGACAGATATTTTCTTTACTGTGCATTAAAGGCTATATTGCATTTACCTAGCTTTGGAAAATGCATATGTAAAAGGACATGTTTTTATGAAAGAGTACAGATCTGAAATTTTGAAGTGAATACATTTGAAGTGAATGAATAAAGCATTTTTTTGCAACTGTTCCTTACCAACCTTAAACTCATAATTTCTTTAGTGTGTTTCATTGCCTATACCTTCTAAATAAATTAGGTACACATCACTCATTTATTAATAATTTACATTAATAATTTAATAATCCTCTTCTGGTCAACTCCTGTAATCTCTCTAAATAGCTGTTTATAATAATTTGCAAGGAGAATCACTAGATTATTTGAATATTTCCTGTTTAGGAAGCCCCTAGCTGTTACCCATCTTTATGTACTCTTATGTGAATTTTTAGCTCTGTAGAAAGAGATGTCCAGCTCTTCCTGTAATTTTAGTATTTTAGTCACCATTTACAGGTAGGCAAAACCAGATCTTTTCCACATCCCAGTTTTATTTTGTCATCTGAATTTCTTTTCTTTCCTTGGTTCTGATACTTTTCTTGAAAACCATCTATATGTAAGAGGTTAAATGGGTATCAGTAACCCAGCTGACACTACCAGCTCACATTCCCATTTTGACTTCAAGATGTAACTGTGAGTAACTGCTATAACTTTTCATTTCCTGCTTATTGTAGTGTTAGTATTGATTTAGTTAGAGCAGTATCAAACTTTTATTTGTTTCATATGTGAGTGAAATTTTTCTTTTTCTCTTAGCTATCAAATACAGGATTTCAGTTCTTGTGGCTGAATTTGGTCAAGATTTAAACTTTGACATGCATCTAAGGCTGCTGGGTTTGTCAGTCATTATCATTCATCATTATCATGTCATATCATATCATGATTTATTTTCACTTGGAGAAGAGCAAATACTGCATAAAGGTTGAAGTTATAATAATTTTTATAAGATTAAAAAGGAGGCAAGGATGTCTTCAAACATTTTCATCAGGAAAAATTAAGTAAAAAAATTAATGTGAATTAGAGAATGGTTTCAGTGAAAATTCTTTGGTGTTCACTAGAAAATATGAGAACAGTTGAGGAAAATCAGTTATGTGTTTGTATCCTTTGGGATTCCTTTTGGAATTTAGAAGCAGCAAAAGTCTGGATTTTAAGTTTTTTTTTGTTTAATCTGGTGGCTAGACAAGCTCCTTAAAGCTATATTTGTGTGCATATGTATATTTTACATGTAAACATGTCCATAAATCTGTGTCTATCTGCCAAGAAAACATGAGAGGCTGAGGTGACTGCATTTGGATAATATCTTTTTAGTAACAGCTTTACTACAGGGTAAGCAGATTATTTCTTTGAGTAGCAAATGCCCTTCAACTTGAAAAAAAAGGGAAAAAAAAGATGGAGGCAGAATCATAATGCAAATTTGTAAGACTTTGTGGTGCGTTAGAACCTGGTAATATGAGTCTGTTACTTTTTGTTAGGAGAGGGCTTGAATTATCTGAAATTTGTATTAAAAATTTAAATGGATTATTTAAAAGGAACCTTTGTATTTTTAAAAGTACTGTTACTGATCCCTGTGTTGGAAAATGGTACAATTTTATCATAAGTCAAAAGTGCATGGGGTTAGATGATACCTATAGCAGCTGAGGTAATAATTTACTTACTGAGGAAGCCATATGAAATGATAGTTAAATAAGAAACAAAGTGATGACATTTAAAATAGATTGCATGTGTGTCTCAACATTTAAAAAAAGAAAAATCTATTGAACATACTGCAGTTTTGAAGAAAAATAATGTTACCATTTTGGAAACTTGTGCCTATATTGGTCATGTATAAAATTATATTTATAAATGATGATTCTTCCAAGTTGGAATCCTTTCAAGTACGTATAATTTTATTTTGGATCAATAATTCAGTTGTGCTTGGACTAGATTGAGGGTGCATGTGAAACTTTGGTAAGTGCAATATAGTGTGCATGTCCATGAAATTATACAAAGCTGTCATGACAGGTATCATCCTTTAAAAGTAATGAATGCAGGTAGGTTGGTAAGCAGGGGAAATAATCAGCATTACCAGAACAACATCTGTCCTGGTGAAATATTCACTCTTGGCAAGGCAGTGTTAAATTCATAAACTTTTTCTGTTCCAAGTTTCTGTAAGAACATTTCAGATTCCAGTGTTCAGTAATTATTGCACAGGTACTGTACTCTTCAGATTTAACACTGCATTTTGCCTACAGGAAACTAATGGCCAGGTGTGTTTAATTTCCTATGATGGTGGCATCTGTCACTCAAAATGTCAAAAATACATTATAGATGTCATCAACAAAATCAGCACTGTAATGATCTTGATGTCAGTGATGTGGCGTGATTACTTTTATTCCAATTTAAAACCTGTTTGATTTCTGATTAAATACTCCCTTTTTTAGTTCCAGAGTGAATTGTTTTCCATGCAAATTTGGTTTCATTTTCCTTTTATTACTGAAAAGTCTTTATATCAGAATGGAGAAGCATTCATTGAAGAAGTGAAGATGAAATGTTTTGAACTTTACTGCTTTTAGATTTTTTTATCTTTTAAATTCAGAATAATTTTAAATTTTTTAAAATTCAGAATAATCTTTCTCCCATTGACTTCCTAGGGAGCAAAGTTCCTACAATGTTAAATGCTGCAGAAAAATTCCATCCTGATCTCAATTAAATATTTTGTTCCTTTGCTATACTGCTTATAAATATATGCTTAGTTTATGAAACTCTGGAGCTATTACACATTAAGATATGTGTAATATGTGTAATAACTTTCAATCTTTTTAGGGAGCACAAAAATTAAAATGTCATGAATTGTAGCTATTCTTCTTTGTTTGTTTGTTTTTAATGTTAATTGAGACTGGAAAATTGTATAGGTTACCTGAGATATTACATTATATATAGTTAAATTATTATGTTTCTTCCAGCACAATGTATTTCAATTTATCTATTGAAGAAGCTGTGAAAAACTCTGTAAAATGACTGTGAAATTTTTTTTTTTTTTTTGCTTTTGAGAAATTAAGGAAAACATTGTATTTTTATAGTGAACATATAGAACATAGAACTACTGTATTTTAGATACAGAATGCAGAATAATCAGCTGACTGGTTCTGATGATTGACTACAGTTCCCCCAGTTTAGGATCTGACCTGTACACCCTGGATAGGAACATCTGCTGATACACCACAGCTCAGGGTGGCTGTGGTAATTTTTGTGTGATTTGAGAAGCTCCATGGAAGCTTCTAATTTTCATAGTAGCACTACCATGATGAACTGTGGCTCATTACTGTAAACTGATGGCAGCTGTTAATGCTATTACAGGCAGAGACTTTTTATTTAAGGGAAACATTAGCCAGTAACTGGTAGGTTTCTGACACAGTATTACATAAGGCTTCCTGTTAGGAAGGAGAGCAAAGAGAAATGGATTTGAACCCATTAGTATCAGAATTACGTGTCAAAAAGCTAGAGCAGAGTTCAATTTATTTCTGCAATAAAGTGTAAGCTAGAGATTGACTTGACAATTATTTTACCTTACATTGCTCTGGTTGTTCTGAGATGACTATTCCAACATCAAATCATCTTGTTTGGACATCTTTTACAGAATAACATGATAGTCTAAATATGCATTATGTTATGTAGAACTAAAACTCGGCAGGTTTTTTCAAGTAGAAATGAGTTTTTTATGACTCCTTTTACTAGAGCATGTATATACAGTGGCACACATTCAGCATAGATTTAAAACAGCTGCATGTATTTTCTGCTAAATTTCGTGCATGTTGTTGAATGGCGTTTACATTGTAATAGAAAGGATAATCTTTCTGAGGCTTTTAGTGGCTTGGTATAAGGAATACAAATAATCTGCCCCAAAATATTTGTTTTCTCTAAGCCAGTCACTGAGCAAGGTTGTGGCTCCTGTTTACCAGTCTTTTTTTCCCCTAATAATTTTTCAAGATAAGAGACAAAAAATTGGACAACTATTTCCTTATTATAATTTTCAACTTTGAGAAGAGCAGTGTTACCAAAATTTTTGCCCACTTAATATATGTATTGTCCTACTGAATTCATGAATTCAGAGCCTTAACCTTGAACATTGTAACAGGCTTTTACTGGAATGGCAGTTTCTCCTGTCTTGAACTGGTGGTCCACTACAGAACACCTATTTAATTTTCTAATTGTGTAGCATTATTTTTGGAGGGTGTTGTGTTCATTGACTCTCTGATAATTCTCATGAAGCTTCACAGAAGATGTTTGTTAAAACTGTAATAGAAGTAACATATTACACCAATGTGCACATTCTCCTAGCAGGTTTTCCTTTCCCTTTGCATGGTTTTATGCAGGACCATGTCATACTCAGGGAAGCAGAGTTGCAGCTTTGCAGCTTGTTGTGTGTTCTGATCTTCTCTGAACTCTGTGGGCAAAACTAATCCCACAATCAGAGCACTACAGAATCTTGTGGGTCCATGGCAGGGCATTTCCTGGCCCTGCAAATTTGACAGTGATGCTGACTACCTTCAGTGTTTGGTTTAGAATCGCCTCAATAGCCAGATTAAACTGAATATCCTTCCTGGAAGGCATGTGGAATGGCAATTCCATGGCTTTGGAATATCCAGGATGAAACTACAATAGCTGTACCTTGTGGGTTGTCTCTTCCCTATGGCTGCAAAAGGATTTCTTTGAACCAGAGGTTAATATAGCTACCTACCTAGGTCAGTTATTATTTTACATGGAGTTACATATATTTATTTTACTGATTTAAAGCCTGTTTGTTATAAAAATCAGCCTATGAAAAGAGATGGCATGTATGCAGGGAGATATTTTTTTTTCCAGGAATTTCTCATGCATAGATACAAATGAATATTCTAAATGTAAATGTTTGGCTAGATTATTCTTCAGAGACACATATTGATTTCTGTTGTCACCCTTCAGTGAGATTTAGTGTAGGTTACTGGGAAATCCTTTCCAAGCACATACTGAAAAAAAAGTAAAATATGATTTCCTTGACAGTTAGTGGAAAGAGACAGAGTAGACGTTAACAAATTAACTGTGTTTATTCCATCCTCACCAGTTTAAGTGTCTTTCAGCTTCTAAAAAATCAGCTCGTTTGGTGCTTGGATAATATGGCTCCATATTGCACTGGGCGAGCTCGGAAGCACATTTTCAAATTCATAGCTTAGCAAAAGGGAAGCTTTGCATTTCCTGATTTTCCTTTGCAGATCTAAATGTGGAGTTGTGGCTCTCTCACCAGAGTGGGAAGCACTGTATAATTTTGCAGTTTAGGCTAGTCTATAATGCAAGTAGTATGAGTCTCATGGAAAACTGTGTGTGATGGCCAAGCTAAATCCTATAATGTGTTTCATTCAGCTTTCTAATAAACCTGAAATTCATAAATTTCTGTGTCTTATAGTGAGTTTGATAATTATGGATTATAATAATTTTACACTTCAGTGCTTACAAACCTAATCATTCTGATATCGTTCTACAAATACTTTTTATTTTTTCTTTTCATTTTTTCTTTGTTATTTGGAGAGTAAAAAATACCTTCACAAATACCAGAGTGCAACCTATGAAGAATTTGGTTTTTTAACGATATAATTTTATGTCTACCTAAACAAGTTATTTTAAAACTTAGATAATATTTTTATGTCTTACAAGGACTGTTAGATATAAGTGTTGAACAGCTTGTTATGTTTCAGTCATGATAAACATCAAGTTCACCTAAAAATTAATAAAAAATTTATTATTTCAACAGCTACAAAATCTGATCAATTTTTGCTTTTTTGGCATTGTGGTATTGTTAATCTCCATTAATTTGCTTTGTAAATGGTTTAAAAACGATTAGTGTCATGTCAGGTATAAAGTATGGCCCATAAATATTTGGTTTAAAAATACATTTTAATATATAGGAGATGAGACTACAATGTTGCAGTAAACTACTGTATTTTAATAAGGTTTAAATCATAACTTCTATGCTTGTTTTGTAGATAATAATAAATGTACAGAGTTGGATGGAAAACTCAGTTTCTGTTGTTTCAAGGGAACAGTGATGCTTGGGTTTTTATGTGATTAGTAGTGAATCTACAAATATTAAAATTATACAATGATGTAGTTGTATTTTCTCAAAACATTTGGGAGCATTTTGAATTCAGAGATTATTTTATGATCTCTCTCTGATGTACTTCAAAAAAGAAAAGCAGAAAGAATTTTGGAAAAAAATTAATCTTTGTGGTAAAACTGGCTTTATAAAAAGCCAAACAAGCAGAAGCATTTTAACATAATTTTCTCCTGACTTAAACAATCTTAATTTTATCACTTTGCCAAACTGTGTTCCTTTGCATGAAGTATGTGCAGGAGATACTTCTGAATTTGCATTTTCATTAGATTTAGCATTCAGCACCTAATGCCATAAATTTGTTTTTGAAACTCTTTAATTCCCCTGAGTGTTCCAACATATTGAATGCTATTTGCTTTGTATTATGTTGGCAGCAAATCTGCAGTGAAAATGCTGTCAATATATATTCATAGCTAACATTGTTAACTAAAAGCAATATTGTTTTTCTATTGTAAGCTGTCACAAATGTTTGGCACCCTGTTGTGTAAGCCAAAAAAATGTCAAAGAAAGAAAAGAATATTTATGAAGAAAAGTGCAGTGATAGTGTCAAGTTTTCTGTATTAAAATACATTCCTTGTTTGTACAGACCTTTACAATTTATGAAATTGTGTTTTGTAGTAATGTAAAGTTAGAATATTGTGAGAAGATGCAGGCTGTAACAGATATTAAATGAGAGGAGCACAGTAAATGATACAGCCATTTTACTTTGTGTGTAATGCAATGCTTATCAGGCTGCAAAATGTATTCTACTATACCCAAAGATCATTTTATTAATAAATGTGCTATATATATATGTGGAAGCTGAATGAAAAATATTTTGCATTTTTTCCTGGTTTTGAAGATGAAGTGTATAATTAACAAAAACAAATGCAAAGTTTTCAGTGTTCTCCTAGGGAGTATCCTTATCTTTGTGCAAGAAACATGCATTTTGTTTATTTAAATAGTGTATTCCTTTTCTCAATCATTCATTCTTTTCTAATGAAACTTATATTTTTTTGTATCTGCATGCTATTATAAGAGTGTCCTAGAGTATTTTAGAGGACTTCTGGGGGAGAAATGAAAAAAGAAAAATTCTGTCTGCCATGCAAATATCCTTGTTAATGCTAATACATAATAAACACCCGTAAGCTAAAATAAGACAAGTGGCATGTTATGTGTTACTCTTGCAAGTGTTTTAACCCAGAGAACCTGAAACCTAAGCCATATAGGTGGAAACTTCTGGATAAGGCACTTGAGGCACAACCAAGTTCCTTGGCCACAGGCTGGGTTACTCTGGAATCAGCAGAGTTCAGCTGGTGGCAGTGGAGAGTGCTGAGAAAAATCAGTGTTTCAGCCCCACAAGTGGCTCTCACTGAAGCACCAGAGCTTCCCAAAGATACACATTTCCAGTACTCTCATCTTGCCAAGGTAACATTTTGCTATATTCACCTAGGTGAAAATATTAACCCATGTATAGGGAAGTACTGGCAGCCCCAGGAATGTCATTTTGTCATTCTCTAGAAAACTTGTTTTCTTACTGAATCATAATGTGTTGAATTTGGGAAAATTTTTTGGTAAAACTTTCATAGATTTGGACCTTGGTCAATTTAGTTTTAAAAAACCCAAACCTTAAATATTCTGATCTACTATTCAAGAGCAATCATTGGTGAATTTGTTTGAGCACTCTTTCATACATCAGTGTATTGGTGACACATTTTAACATGTATCATCTTCTGTGGTGCTGGCCCATGGTGTGAATACATACTGCCTGATCATGCTACATGATGCCAATAATAAGTCCTTTTTTTCCTTGCAGCTGATTTCACCCCCCTACTTCAAAATAACCTCTGCTTTCTGTGCTGATATTTGCTCTGCTAGGGGAATACAGGTGCCACAAGTGATTTCAAATGGTCCCTGTTATGGACTCGCTATTTTCAAACATTTTCTAAGAAGTGCAAAATAACCTGAGTTTCCATTGACGTTAGTGACATTTCAGTACTATTAGCACCTTGGAAAATTGGCCTTTATATTCCTTGGCACCAATCTCTATAAATTCTCTCATGTGCTTCCAAGTAAACCCAAGCTAAGTCTCCCACAACTGTCCAAATTAATTTTTTCCCTGCTTTTTAGTTTCCGACATTCTTTCCTAATTTTCATAAAGATAAAGAAACCAAACAAAAAATGTGAAATGCATTTGATGTATGGAATTGCTTTCTGGGTCTGTGACTGGCATTATATAAAAAGGTCAGAGATGTTTATTAATGTTCTAGGTGAATGTTCAGCACATTCAAGTCTAAGAGAGAATGTGTCTTGCCCCTCTATTCATTCTTTTCTAGATTATTCCAAGAACTTGCACATGATTGAGTCTAATGTGCATCTGAAGAGGCAATATACTTGGACAATTACATTCACAGATGAATAATATTTTTTAAACACAATAAAAAACTTGAACAGATTCTTAAATGGCTCACTAGATAGGGATTGCTGTTACAGAACAGGAGACAGTACTGCATCCTGCAGACAATTGACGAAATGGACTAGCAGTTTTCATCCTTAATTTAATTCTTTTTCCTCAGTGGCAGAGAGATGCACAGTCCTTCTTACATTGTTTATCTTATTTTGGCATAACAGATTTAATCATGACTATATCCATTTTCCACAAACTGTGTTGTGTCTTGAATCATAGAATGTTTAAATCTTTTACAGGTGTGGGATAACTGTGCAGCTCATCCTACTGGAAAGCTTTGGATTTCTGTGCATTGTGGAAGAATGTACCTTTCCCCAGTTTCAGAAATGTTTATGAAGCTTTAGAAAGTGCAGTGTCTTCTATCTGGTAGTTAGATTTCTATCACTTCTTGTTATTGTTAGGGTTTCTTTTTATTACTTACTTTATTATGTGTTGTACAGGGGGACCTGCTTCGCCATTTTACATTTTTTTACTGTTGTTTTGTTAGGCGTAAATTTGATGCTGCAGGAGGAATGAAGATGTGCAAACCCAGTTATTAATCATGCTCAAATCTTTTCCATATGTGTGTCTTGAAACATTTATTTTTCCTCTATTACCTTTATATGAAATAAAATTGTGTTTTTCTTTTTTATGCTTGAGAGTATTGACTTGATAAAAATGAAGGCTGTTGCTTGCTCCCCTTTGCAGAAGTGATGTCATAAAAAGGAGCAAGACATTCCTAACATTCCTAACTTTTTCTCTTAGCCCAAATTAAGCTCATCCCTGCTGAGGAGTTTAGGTGGAGGACTACTCCAAGATGTGTTACCTGCTTTTTCTTCTAGCAAGAGTGACTCAGAATTCTCTTGAGGGTAGCTATTGCAACAACAGTGGAGCACAAAGACAGAGAAATTAATAAAGTAAATAGGAAAGACAGTAAATATAGACCAGACCATCCTCATTTACTGTTAGAAATAAGAAAGGAACAGTATTAAGGCACATAGATGAGACAAACCAGCACTTATCCATGGTGAAATCTATAAAATGTCTTCGATTGCTCAAGGGATCTTTAGATATAGCATTATTTTCTCTATCTTATGGATGACTTGACCACCTTCACTATGAATTTTTCATGATTTCCTGACCCAGCAGCTCTTGCCTGTGGAGAGAGTAATACAGTATTGATTTAGGTGTTAGGTTTCTGCCTTTTTTGCCATAACAGGATTTTTGTAGCCTAGAAACCTCAATCCCTGATTACTCATTAGAGACTTGAACAACTTTTCTTAGATCTGGAATGTAAAAGAATAATCACTTAGTTACTTTTGTCATAGGTAGCCTTTGTAGTGGAATTTCAGCTCATCTTGGTAATGAGTGCTGTTATTAAGCTTATCCTGATTGAATGGGCTCTACTAGGCCTTCAGATTGCAAAAATACTGTTGCCTGATAACAATTAGTGTGTTTGCAGCAGAATTATACTGGTGAATGTGTTTATTTAGCAGCATACTGCAAACCAGTGGAATAAGTAGGGGTCTGTCTTCCTGCATTCATCCTGGCATTGATGTCTTGGTGACTTATTTTCTGTGCCTCTTGGGCATATTAGAAAATTGAAAAGAGGCCATGATGTTTCTATTTCTCATTTAAACTGTTGTGTTTTTTTTTTAAATAAAAAATCCATATCTTACATCCTCAGCATTGCCATGGAAACAAGATTTTTAAAAGGGACTTAACTGAAATTTAGCAGCAGTTTTTATTTCTTTGTGATTCATACTTCATAAAAATGCAAATGTCACACTAATACATGTTTTACCTTAATATTTTATACTACCATTTTGTCTTAATTGGTCTAATGTTTTCCCTAATTAAATTTTGAGCTTCTTTGAATGATTTTAAAACTGTACTGTGGACCTATCAAGCTTTAAATTTTGACTGTGACATACAATTTAAGACACTGTCATAGAGGAAAATCAATCATTTCAACCTGTAGTCACAGGCACAACAAAAGATTTAAAAGATTTAAAAAGCCTTTTGTCCTGACTGGAAATTTCTTGGCCTCTATAATCTTCATTTCTAGTGAAGTATCACAGCAAATAGCTATTAATCATTTATATTCCTTTGTTTTTAACTTTATTCCCTCTAACTGTGTGAAGTTGTTTAGAGGATAAATTACTGCTGTGCTAAATAAAGCTTTTATTCATAGTTCCCTTAAGAGGAGTGTTTTGTTTATGCAAAGCTACAGTGTGCCCATTGGTTCACACACATACTTGCATCAACATGGGTAAATAAACTACATTAATTTAAGATTTTATTTGTGTGTAAACATGCAGCAATTTATAATGTTAGTTCAAAAATGAAAGAATATCTGGCATTCTCTTCTGAGTGCCTGTTTGGTTAGGCCTTACAGAACATACAACATTTTGCCTTTTAAAATTGAAAGTTAATATGATTAGACTAGGGATCCTGGTGATCAAAACTGAAATCATAGAGCTATGGAATTGCTTGGGTTGGAAAAGACCTTTAAGATCATCAATTCCAGCCATTAACCCATCACTGCCAAGCCCACCACTAAGCCATGTCCCTGAGCACCCCATCTACACCTCTTTCAATTAACTCCAGGGATGGCAGCCAGTTCCAGGGCTTGACAACCTTTTCAGCAGAGAATTTCCTTTCTAATATCCAATCTGAATCTCCCCTGGTGCAATCGGAGTGTTCTGTCACTTGTTGTAGGGAGAAGAGACCAACCTCCACCTGGCTACAGCCTCTGTCCATGGAGTTGTGGACAGTGATAAGTGATCAGTGACAATGATAAGTGACAGTGATCTCCCCTGATCCCCCTGTTCTCCAGGCTGAGCCCCCCAGCTCCCCCAGATTTGTGCTCCAGACCCTGCCCCAGCTCCGCTGCCCTTCCCTGGACTTGCTCCAGCCCCTCAATGTCACTCTTGTGCCCAGAACTGGACACAGCACTTGAGGTGTGGCCTCACAGTGCCCAGTACAGATGGACAGTCACTGCCCTGCTCCTGCTGCCTGGCCATGTTCAGTCCCTGTTGACCAGCACCCCAAGGGCATTTTCCCAGCTGTTCTGCCCTCAGCCTGTGGTGCTGACGGGTATTGCTGTGATCCAAGTGCAGGATCTGGCACTTTGTGGCATTGATGCTCATACAGTTCCCTCATCCCAATGATCCAGCCAGTCCAGATCCCTCTGCAGAGCCTTCCTGCCCTCCAGCAGACGAACACTCCTGCTTGACTTGGTGTCACCTGTGAGTTGACTGCAGGTGCACCCAGTCCCCTCAGTCCAGATCGTCAGTGAAGAGATGAAACAGAACTGACCCAACACTGACTCTTGGGGGAAACCACCTGTAAACTGGATGTAACCCCATTCACCACCACCCTCTGGGCTTTACACTGGGACATCCAGTTAAAGCCAGTGTGTTTTTCACAGTTCTCTCTTCTATGAAGCCACTGTACCTTGTGACGTTAGAAAGAAAAGAAAATGGTGTGCACCATATGCACTGCTGGCCTCACTTAGAAATTGTTATTACTCACAGCTCAAGGAGTATGGATCCCTCAGTGCTGAGCTGTAAATGAACTGTATTGCTTCCTTTTATTGCATTTTATGAATGTTTTCAACAGGTAAACCAAGCAGGAGATTCACGTGAAATGACACTTTACTGTAGGAAAGAAAAAGTATAGTCATAGAGAAAATACAGAAACATAGGGAGGCTTCTGCCTTGATGAACTTGGTTTTTTTGTTAAAAAACTATTGTAAAATAATTTTATACCCTTTACCCTAAGATTTGCTTTGAACATGCTGATGATTTATTGGTGTATATATTGTCTACACTTTACAAATATCTTATTCTGATTAAGTCATCACGAGTGCACATTGAATGATGAAGAGTGTGAAAATATATTTGAAGCTCAATTGTATGCAAATTTTCATTGAGATTAAACAGTCCTAAGTATTTCTAATTAAGTTTGGGGTAAGAAGTAAGTTGCCTCATGAGGCGGTGGTTGCATGTATTTGACCACACAGTGCAATCAGCAGAAAATTATTTTAGATATATTCGCGGTTCTTAGAGACAGTGAAAAATAAGTATTTTTATCATTGAACTTGCCAATTATTTAAATACATTAACCTATTAAATGGATGTATCATCATTGCCTATGCTACAAATGCATCTAAAAGCCTAGAAACATGTTGGTCAGGTTCCCAAGGCTGCCCACTCAGATTTAGCTGAGTGTGTATAAAAGCTTTCTTTTGTAAACATACCGAGTCCTGCAGTGTGAGCAGTGTGTTTGCCCATTTTTGCATGCTCAACTTCCATGCATCCTTCTGAGGAATAATGCTTGACATTCTGGATAGGTGGTACTTAACAGGAGAGAAGACAAAATTCTTCAGAATATCATATATTGAGGGGCATGCAGGAACACAAACGTACTTACAGAAACAGTAGTGGAGTGTCAAATGAATGCATTTGAAAAGTAATTACATCTGACTTTTATACTGAAACAAACAAACACAATTGTTCAACAATGTCTTTTTCCACAGACTCGGTTGCCAGTGTATTAATAATCCCACCTAATTGACACCATCTCTATTTATATTATGTGTACTGTACTATTTCCAATCTTCAGTTTTTCCTTTTTTAAGTAACTGTTGTATCTGCCTCTCTCTGAAGATGAGCAATATCTTTTTCAAATTAATGAGATTCCTATTTTGCTTAAACAAGATGCATATTCACTATATTTCTGTTGTTTTAAAATATAATTGCTATGAATGTGTTCAACAGTTTGACTTGGTTTTTTCAAATTGAGTGAATTAATTAAAAATTGGTGTTTGCCCATAAAAGAGTGAATGAGCACTTGATGTCAGAAATCAGACTGTAAATGAACATAATTATGTTTCACCTTCCTATTTAGTAATTTGTGTGGGCATAAGCATTTAGTTGTTTGCAATGTTATTTCTTAAACAGTTTCATTTACACTTTGGTTTTTTAAGAAGAGAGGGAGGGTAAAAGAAAAGTTAATGACTAGATAATGATTTCTTTCTGAAAGGCTGAGCATCACTTCTAATCCTCAATTTGCAGAACATCAGGGTAGAAAATACTTCTCTGATGGTTTTATGCTAACTGTATGTTATTTAGAAAGAAATTCTCACCACAGAACGTGAGAGATTATTTTGGCTCCAGGTGCCAGGGTGTTACTCCTACACACATTTATGGTATGGTGTAAGCAACATGATATGCAAAGGTGTTCTCTATCTGCATTGTACAATACACTGCTTGAAAGCAACAAACACTGATGATGGCTGCCATTTTGTTTAAAATAATACGTATTATAGAGTCAAAACAGCATGGCTTTTTTCCTTAAATTTACATACCCAACACAATAGTCTTTTTTCTATTTTGACTGCTTACTGAATGAGAAATGAAATGCAGTTCAACCAGCACATTGCTTGTTATAATTTTGCCTTTTGTGGGATTGTTTTTCTTGTCCCTGGAGAAACCAAGCATTATATTGATAATTTGGATAGGCTTATTTAACAGTAAGCAGTGGCTTTGTCTTCATGAAGGATTTCATGACCCAACAGCACAATCAGATAGGAGAATGATTTGGCATTTCTATACAGGAATACTCTTGCTACTGAATAAAAAAACCCCCTGTGATTATTGTCTGTTTTTTGATATACATTAAACAAAAAAGTCCTAAGTATGGAGTAGGATGTTATATCAGTTCCTTCTAAACTGGAAAAAAAAATAGGATGATGAACAAAAAAATCTGCAACTGAAGATTTCAGTTTTAAAAGGTTAAAATTGGAGAAAAGAGGGAATGTAGGACATAATGAGAACTTAGTGGTTAGTGGTTGAATATCCCTCTGCCATCCTGTCTGCTGTGTGAAATATACAGAAATAATACAATGCTGGACAGGAAGAGAGTTTCTATTGTAGACAGTTGAATTCCCTCCTATTATAAATTCCTAAATTTGGCCAGCTATCCTTTAAAATGAAGTATTCCTTTAAAAAACTGTTTGAGATGTTAGTCCCCTTAAAGTATGAGGCCCTCTAATTTCTTAACTAAATGCACTAATAATCATGTAAGACTAATTTTGGTTTTTTTGATGGTATTATTCTTAAGACTAACCATCATTTCTGCCTCCCAATTCTTCATTCCTGTTAGAACTTATGGAGAACTGTCTTTTCCATTTCCATCTGAAAGTGAGGGATGTTTTTATGAGAATACCCAAATAGTCACAAGAGTTTTCCAGTTCAAGTTCACGTGCCTGCATTTACTGGCTCATGTAAAACACCAGGTGCAAAGTTTCAGTTTCTTTTAGAGCACTGGTATTCTACCTCGAGGTTGAAATAACAGTGTCAGGACTGCACAAAGAATTCTCTGTGCCAAACATGCTCGTTGATCAATACATTAATTATCATTAATTCCATTAATATCAACTGTACTCTCAAAATGATAAGATATAAATAAGAAAGTAATGAGCATAAACTATTACCTCTTATTTTTCCTTGGCTAGCCCCTGAGCAGTAAAGCACTAGAAGAAATATATCTGTAAGGCTGGTTACCACAGAAGTGTTTCTTCAGGTTTCAGGCTATTCCTCAGCAGGAATTTTATCAAATATGGGAAATCAGTGGAAGGATTTTATTTCTCATAATACTGTTTCAATTGACAACACAGATGCATTTTAAGCATTAACAACTATTCTTGATTGCCTGCTAAAATTCCTGAAAGTCTCTCTTTTACACTGTAGTGCAATGTAACTACATTTTGTTCCTGCAGAAAGGTGACTTCAGGAACTCATAAAAGGTTGAGTGTGATAATTTTATAACAACGCAGAATTTTCCATTTACTGGATAACAGCTTGTCAGGGATTAATATGTAGAATATTGATAGTTAAAGGTAAATATAAGAAAAGATGCATGAATAGTAAATATAAATAGTTCAGTGCTCATGTAGCTGCCATGTTAGACAATGAAAAGTTATTTTTTTAATGACATGAGACGCAAATCACAAAATGTAAGATACCACAGCCTGAAAACTGGTATTTCTGTCCACCTTGTAATCATGAAGGCTGTATGGCTTCAAGATCTTCAGTTCAAAAGATAAAATGTTTTAAAAGATAGTTACCTTGTGAATATCTGTTCTGCTGCCCAAGGATATGATTTAATGTTCAATTGGTATATATGGCGTGCTTG